ATCATCTCGGAGCACATGTTTCTGGAAGCTTTCCTGGCTGGGCTGCACAGGCTTTGAAATAAGCTTCCTGTTTTAGCTAATTCTGATTTAGCTGCAGTCGTGTGCGCACCATGTGAGCGAACAGACTCAGGCACCAAATGGATTTGTTTTTTCCAGACTGAAGGTGGAAATGGGAAGAGCACAGGCTGGGGACAGATAATGTTTCAGACATCTTGCATAGTAGTGAAATTCTCAGAGCTGACTTGAAAGGAATGCCAGAGAAATAAATGTATGTTCTGGTAGCACCTATGGCCTGTCCACTTTATGGGCAGCTGCCAGTAAATGCTAAAGGAAACAGCTTGGGAATGTAAGGGTAGGAATAGGAGGAGCACATTCCCAGTTTGGCCTGCTGGAATTCAGTGATGTTTGTTTTAAGAAGATCAGAAGAAGAAAATGTAGAGTGAGAATAATGGAAATAAGGGCAGGCTGAATTGTGGGATGATTTCAAAGGAAGAGTCCTGTCCCTTGGCTCATGGCTACACAGATTGGAGCACTGGAAATGGGTCTCTCCAATTCTCCTCTGCAATTCACAGCCAGGCACGAAGACTCCAATACCTTTCCCCTAATTTTTCCTAAACACTTAATCCTACTCCACTCTTAACAGCCTTTTCTATTACTTCTTAGACCTGGGAAAATGTAGAAGTCTATTTAAAACACTGGCAAGTTTCCAAGCAGCAGCAGCAGCTGTGCTCAGATCAGCTCTCCCTGATGGAAATTTTCTCTTCTTGTACCCAAACAGCATCACACCATGATCACATCAATATATTTCCTTTAAGTGTTCCAGCCAGAAGCAGAAAAGCACCACTCATGTGAATGGGACAGTAAATAAGATTCTATCATGATTGAAATAGGGATCCATGTGAAATAGGAATTATATCTTCCTACTGCCATAATTTTCCTTTTCACACTTGCAAATATTTTTCCACACTGCAGCAGTCCTGATGAGTGTTTCTCACAGGGGTTAATAAGAACTAAGGAAGGGGAGGAGGTTTATAAAACTCGGTGAAGTTTTCTGTAGTTAATATGCAATAAATAGTGATTTTAGACATGGGCTCATTTGACTTAGCATGGAAATAGACATTTTGGTCTTAGTGGCAGGTTCTTGAGATAAACATCGGTCATTATTAGCATCTGATTTCTGTCTTAAAATCAGAAGTACTTGACTTTTCTACCCAAATCCATGAACAGTTAAACACCTTCATGAATTGCCAAATATGTCTGAATTAGTCTGAGTACATTTGCTCTGGAAGGACATTTTGTACCTCTCTAATATGCAATTACTGATGCAAAGGCTTTGTATAAATAGCACAAGAATAGCTTTGGATCCATCATTTAAAAAAGTTCCTCCTCTCCTCAGCTCCTCTGCTTTCTAGCAAATTTCCATGGAAAATAGAAAACTCAGCAGCATTTCTGTTTATTTGAGAAGAAACCACTCACACAAGAAAGCTCATTTTGGACCTTTCCCTTCTGTTTTGTCCTTGCAAAGGAGTAACTTGGGGTAGAATTCAGAAAAGCAGAAAAGCTCTTTGGACTCCTCAGTCATTGACTGGGATCCTGTTCTCAGCAGCTCATCCTGCAGGGATAATTTTACATTTAATCAGTGCTGAGGCTCTGGACCCCAAAGCTCCCCCAGCACTGATGGTGCATGTGAAGTACCTAAGTTAAAACCATTGAATTCAAGGTGCAGCCCAGCAAAGAAATTTACTCTTGGAGTAAGGAGGAGGAGCAGGAGAAAGGCACTGTTGCTGCCAGTTTAACTTGTATGGAGCCCTCCTGTAGCCTGCAGGACAGATTAAATAGAAGAGAAATCTTCCCCAAAAAATTAACAAAATAATTTATCATAAACATCTTGGACTGATCATTTATTTGAACAGAAACCAAAACTTCCCTCAGATAACTGAATTCTGTGTCCAAATATTCTTCTGATACAACACAGGCAGAGTTCTTCTGTGCCAAGAGAAAATCACATTTCATAGTAAGGGTAGAGCAGGCAGCATGGTGGTACCCAAGATGTAACAATAACCAAATGTTAATAATTATGAAGCTTTTAAACTCCATAGTGTTATTTGTCTGTTTGTTTTAAAAGCTGCCTTTCCTAATGGAAAGCCATCAATATTCAGAGAAATAGCAAAACAAATGGGCTTTCTAGTCTTCTTCTGTTCTCTTGTTTTCTTCTGTTTAACCAATGAACAAATGTATATCCTTAAAGGCCATAAATGTGCTCAGATTTCCCTTTGCCTTGGGATTCAGGGAGTATTTCTCTGTGATACCGAGCACCTGCTACAGTTCATACATCACCTGCTGCTGCTGTCCTTATACTGAAACTTGAAAAAATACCTAAGCCTCCATCAATTCCCAGCTTAATGCAGTTTTGTGGAAGCAGACACTTCTCTTTAAGGATTTCTGCTGTCTGCTGGTACCCTCTCCCCCATCACAATGAGGTGCAAACCCGGCAAGTGCCACTCAGCCCCTGCTGTCACTGAAATCTTCATCTCCTGCCAGCTGGAGGCAGCTCTGAACTGCAGCCAGGCTCTGCTGGAGGGAGCACACCCAGCAATGCATCCCTCCCTCCCCGGGAGCTGACCTGGCTCCCAGACCTCACTGGGCTGGTACTGGTATTTCTCATGGTGTTGCAAATCAGCCCAGTCCCCGATGGCAGTCAAGTGAAAGCAGAGAGGACGTGGCACGTTTCACCACTCACTTCTCTGATTTCACATTCCAGCCGTGATGCATTTTTGAAGGACCACAGAAATGTGCAGTTTAAAACCTGTCTAGTAAACTTCCTTGATCCTGAGGCATAAGCTTTGAATTTGAGTAATTTTCTTTTTTTCCACTGCCCTTTGGAGCAGTTTCCTTTTCCTACTTGGCTCAAAAAAATTTCAAATCAAGACAGCAGCAACAGCTTGTTCCCTCCTGTGATGCAGATTGTGAGTCAGGGCCTTTGGGACCTCCATGCTGACTGCATGAAATTCCATGTGCCCCCAGGGGATTGCCCCAGGAGTATTCCTGGAATGGCTGGCAGTGTTTGGAGCTCTGTACAGCACCTTGGGTTTCTGCTGTTGCTACTTTCCAGGCTAAGGGCAGAGCTGCACACCCTCCTCAAGCTCCTAGAATCATTAAGGTTGGAAAAGATGATGGAATACAGCTCAGAGATTAGCAGAGCTTTTTAATAGGCTTTCTGTAATAAACAGTTCCAGAGCACTATGAAATAAGTCACTCATAGACCCTTTTATATGTATTAGATTTTAATTCCCTGAAGAGAACAACAGATTATATGGGAGTAAACCACAGGGCTGAGCTAGGACTAGACTCAAGAATTTACAGTTCTGGGATCACTCCAGTGGCCTAATCTCTGCAGAAAATCTCCACTCCACACTGGTTGTGATACATATCCCCATGACCTGTGGAAGCCTCTGGGCCCAGAGGCAATGAACACACAAAAATTCTGGAAAAACAGCCTTTTCTCTGTCACTGGGCATTGAGAGCAGGCAGTGTCTCAAGGTGTTCAGTCTATAAGAACAAGGATTAGAAGGTCAATCCTTCTCACTAGGAAGGCTGTAAATATAGGAGAAATATCCACATGCAAGTAGGGACCCCGTTCTCCTGGGAACTGCTCCCACTGTAATCCACAGCACAGACTCTTTGGCCTGGGCAAAAAGAATTAATCCCTGTCCAGCTGTCCTAGACCCCCTGTGACTCATCATGGAATCAGTTCCATACCTCATTTTCCATGCTGACCCAAACAGCCAGATGAGCTCAAAAAGACCTCAGCCATCACATGTATTAGAAGAATTCCTTCTAATTAAACTTGAGCAACAGTTCTGATAACCTGTTTTTCCTTAGTGTTTCTCACAGTTTGACAGATCATGTTATTATCTTCTAGGCCAGGTTTCCTGGGAAACAAAGCATCTTCTTACTTTTCTAATCCTTCCAGGGAAATGATGCCAAATTAAAACATTTTGTGAGCGTTCATTACATTTTGTCAGAGATGGTTCATGGATAAATCAACGTCAACTGTCCAGAATGTGCTACTGATTCATGAGGGAGCTGAAACAATGAAGCTTGCTTTTTCGAAGTCTACTTCATGTCCAGAGGCAACATTAACCAGGATCAAAAGTTCCTCTCTGGCAGTTCTGTGTTTTGGTCAAGGAAACTCCACTGCTGAGACTGGGATGTTGCTACAGCAAAAATGTGTGAAAGGGGCTCTTCCCATGGACACCAACTCCAGCTCTTACCACATCACAGAATCCCAGAATGATTTGGGGAGGAAAGGACCTTAATGCCTCTCTCATTCAACCTTGTGCCATGGGCAGGGGCACCTTCCACTATCCCAGGCTGCTCCAAGTCCTGTCCAGCCTGGCATCAGACACTCCCAGGGATCCAGGGGCAGCCACAGCTTCTCTGGACACCCTGTGCCATAGCCCCACCACCCTCAAAGGGAACAATTTCTTCCCAAAATCCCATCTTATCCCTGCCTTCTGCCAGTGGGAAGCCATTCCCCCTTGTCCTGTCCCTCCAAGGACAGGAGTGTCTCTATGTCCTTCTTGTCCAGCCCTTCAGCTCTGGGAAGGCCACAGTAAGGTCACCCCAAACCTTCTCTTCCCCAGGCTGAGCAATCTCAGATCTCAGCCTTTGATCACAGCAGAGCTGTTCCATCCTTCTGATCATCCTGGTGGCTCCTCTGAACTGGCTCCAGCAGTTCCAGGACCCTCCTGTGCTGGGCCCCAGGGCTGGAGGCAGGTAGGATCCCACCTGAGTGAGACAGAGAGGCTGAACTATGATACAGAAGCTTCTTTCCCTTGGCAAGAGAAGATTTAGTGGGAATGTTCCGTTGGAACACCCACATCTTAGAGGCTGTACAGGCTGTGCCTGTTACAAGACCCCGCAAACCAGGTCATTATCTGTTCCTGCCCACCATAATCACACACATGATGATCATCTGGGTCTCAGGCACCACTCACCTGCACCTTGTAGAGGGACTCAGCGGGAAGAGGTGAATCCAAGAGGGATTGTGCAGCTCACATCTACCTGAGTAGAAAGAAACCAGGCCCAAGAGCAGAAGGATCTGCAAAGAGAGAATATAACTGGTAACTGGGTGAACCTCTCTTGTTTGTTTAGTGCAGAGCTGGGAGGAGACTCAAAACACCAAGCCGGGACTGGGAAAGGCATGTTGGAACACAAGAGAAAACTTGGTGTTCTCTCTTCCTTCCCACTTTGGCCTTTAAGGGGTGATGCTAGAAATAATATCCAGATCATGCTTGCTGTAGAAATGACAGGATTCTGGGATTTTACACCCTTGCAATGCAACTTTCAGACACAGGCTGGGATTTGAAGCACAGCATATTCTGAACCCTCCTGAAAAAAGAAAACAAGGCCAATACATTTGCCAGGGTATCCAACCAGTTCTCAACAGCCCCATGTGAGCTTTGCAGACTGACCCAGCATTACAAATGCCTGATGCAAAGCAAGTAAATATATTTAAAAATAAAGCATGGAAGGAAACAAAGGAGCAGACTATTTGCCCAGACACTTTGAGAAGTACAGTCTCTTCTGACCTCCTCTGTATTCCAGGGAGCAATTCCTGAGCTGCATTCAGAGACAGAAACAGAGTTGCCAGGCCCAGAACTCTGGCAATTACTCAGTGGAAATGGAAACAGCAACACAGACGCCAAAGGTATGATGCAAGTTTCATTGTCCCTGGAAGAATGGGAGTCCAGTATGGGTTTGGGGCTGTTTGCTTGGAATTTAAAATCAGTTGTAGTTCCACATAAATTTAATATTTAAGTCAGGGAATAAGATTATTTTATCCACACTCCCTGGCTGATGTTTCTCTGAAGGGCTATTTTGGACCCTGGACAGGGAATTTGAGCTTATCATGCATAGAAACAGCTGAGAAACAGGAAGCAGATAGGACAAGGGGGAATGGCTTTAAACTGCCAGAGGGCAGGGATAGATGGGATACCGGGGATAAATCCTTCCCTGTGAGGGTGGGGAGGCCCTGGCACAGGTGCCCAGAGCAGCTGTGGCTGCCCCTGGATTCCTGGGAGTGCCCAAGGCCAGGCTGGATGAGGCTTGGAGCAGCCTGGGACAGTGGAAGGCATCCCTGCCCATGGCAGGGGGTGGCACTGAATGATCTTTGAAGTCCCTTCCAACCCAAACCATTCTATAATTTTTTCTTTAATTCCATGAAATCTGAGCAATCCTCTGCAGAGCTGAGAAACACACATAGAAGTTTTTCTGTTCACAAAACATAAAACTGGAATTGTAAACCACATAGGAAACAGTCAAACACCGGAAAGAAAAAAGAATATTGTGTTCTCTTGATATCTGAAAGGTTAATAGGTTACAGAGAACCATTTGGAAGACTGAAAAACAGAGGAAGGGTAGGTCAGATATGGAAGGAAAATGTAAAATGGTAAAATTCACCTCCTCCCTCAGCCAAATAAATTTTTAAATATTTTAATTCTCAAGTCAGGATGAAATTTATGGGAGTAATAAGTCAGGCTTTCTTCTAGTAATTGAAATTAAACAGCACTTGTTCAAGCAAGGACAGTTTCTTTTCCATCTGTCACTACAAGTAATTCCATGTGTTTAGCAGTATCTGAACACCTAGTGCTACAGTTGGATAACACTTTGCTGTAAAGTTTCCTAGCATGGTCTGCAATCAGAAAATAACTAAAACCAAATAGTCTTTTCCCCAGGATATGCATAATTTAAATCTAACTGCAAAGGAATTGCTGGACTTGAAGCCTGTTACAAATATCCACGTGCTTGTTTCATCTAAGAACCTCAGGGGGAAAGGACACTTTGATAACAGAAGGGTCTTTAATATAAAAAGCAATAAAATTCATGGATTTTGAAGCTGGACATTTTCAGGATGGAAATGTCACTCTTCCCAGCGAACAGGACTAATTACAGCAGCTCATGGAATAATACTGTGAATTGTCTACCAAGCAAATGCTTCCTTTACAATCTGATAATCCTACTGACAAAAATTCAATGGCTCTCCCGTCGATGATATGATTTGTTCCGAGCAGGCCACGAAGGGAGAGCAGGGTCAGCTTTGTGCCCGTCCCGAGGATCCCTCGGGCCTGGGGCCTGTGTGGCGGAGCAGCTGCTCCGGTGAGCGCTGGGCCGCCAGGGGGCGCTGCCGTCCGCGGGACGGCCGGGCCGTGAGGGCCCGAGCGAGGCCCGAGCGGGGCCCGCGGAGCCTTCCCGGAGCTGGGGAATGTCCTGAGACCCCCGAGGATCATCGGCCCTGCCCTGCACACACAGCCCCAGATCCCACCCTCTGCATCCTCGGAGCGGTGCCCAAACACTCCTGGAGCTCTGGCAGGGCTGTGTCCATTCCCTGAGGAGCCTGGGCAGTGCCAGCACCCTCTGGGGGAACAAACTTCACTGAGATCCAACCTAAACTCCCCTGGCCCAGCTCCAGCCCTTCCCTGGGTCCTGTCCCTGTCCCAGGGATCGGAGTTGTCCCTCCGCTGCTCTTCGAGTGGAGCTGCAGCCCCCGATGAGCTCTGACCTCAGGCTCGTTCACGTTGAACGAACCAAGCACCCTCACCACTCCTCGTGTGGCCCCTCCTTTGGACACTCCAACAACTTTATATCCTTCTCATATTGTGACACCCAAAACTGATCAGCACCGGAGGCGAGACTGCCGCAGCCCTGAGCAGAGGGGACAGTCACCCCCTCCGCCAGCCGGCGATGCCGTGCCTGGTGCCCCCAGGACGGGGATGTCCCTCCTGGCCCCAGGGCACACTGACTCACATCCAAGTTGCCACCTCCAGGACCCCCAGGTAGGTGCCTTTCCACGGCACTGCTTTGCAGAGTCTCATTCCCCACTCTGTCCGTACATCCAGGCTTTCCCGGTCCTGCAGCTCTTCAGGCACAGAATTCCGCACGGTTAAACTCCGCATGGCTGGTGATTGCCCAGCCCTCACATTTATCAAGATCTCTCTGCCTCCAAGGGAGCCAACAGCTCTTCCCAGTTTGTGTCAGCAAAATTTCTCAGTATCCTTTCAAGTCCCGATCCGAGTCGTTTAGGAAGACACTGCAGTGCAGTGGCCCTAAAACCGAGCCCAGCAGAGCCCCAGCAGTGACTTTTTGCCAGCCTCATGTAACCGCTGTGCACCCCAAGCCTGCCTGAACCCCGCCAGGCACCCGAACCCGTGGGACCCCCTGGGCAGTGCCAGAGCAAGCCGTGGGATGCCTGAGAAGCTGAGAGAAGCTGTGAGAGGAAGATGTGAGGAGCTGACAGCTCCTAGAGATGCCAAAAGCAGCACTTTGGCATTAATTCACTGCAAGAATTATGTGGGAAGGAGACCTACTACTTATGAAGGCTGAATGCTCCATTCCCCATACTTCTAGAAAAAATCAGCATGAAAATTAATAGAGAAATAGAGAAGCCTAAAAAAAGATTTTTATGTTGCCATCACAATTCAAGGCAAAACCGCTCCCTCATTTTTCCTCTGCTTCAAATGTATCAGAGGATAATAGAGACTTTTGCTACTGTTTGATGCATCTCATTTTCATGAAGTTACTTTGATTATTCAAATGCATTCAATGCTCTTATTTTAGAAGGAATACATCGGACCTGATAGGTCAACACCATCTAGCAGAGCATCACAGAAGAAAAAAAAAAGTGAAATTGTGGGGTTTTACTCTGAATTATAAGGTAGATTCAATGTTTCTTTAAAAAAAAACCAAAAACAACTAAACCAATAAAGTGTTTTTCATTGCAAATGGAATAAGATATTCTTAATTGAACGCTGTCATTGCAATTCAAATAAACTTTTTGGAATTATTTTTCTAAAATGTGGCCAGGCTTTAACGTAACTAAAAATGAAGAGCAAAGTGAGTGAAAAAGGAAACAACTTCCAACAGCCTTTGGTATTATTGCATCATTAGATGTGTATAATTTAAAATAACAACACCAAACATCTTTTCCCACGCATTTTTGCATGTTTTCCATACACACCTCAGGGAAAATCTATTCAAAACTTGAAAATAATCTGAATAGATAGAACTTTACAGTTATGACTAGAGCACAAACTAAAACAAATAGGAAATAAGTGTTTTATTTGTTATTTTGTTAAATAAGGAGAAAAAAAGTTTAAAATATAGAAACCCCACTTTTCTAGAGACACAGAGACCTCATGCTCCCATCAAAGCCCCAGAGGCAACTTTGGACTCAAGAGTTTCTGGAGACCTCGAGGGAGCAGCTGAAAAAAAAAATCATAAGATGAGAAAGCTGTAAGATTCTGACAGCAGAGTCAGCATTTTGGGTCAAATTAGAGAACAAATTAATGATCGGAAAATGAACTTGAGGAACTCTTAGCTATGGCTATGAACCAAGACAAGTTTAACGACATCACATTCTTGATCCTGACTGTAATTTTATGGGCAGCATCTGCAAGATCTGAGCGTTTTTCAGAGACACACGGGGAGCCGAGAGGGATTTCACCGAGCGCACGGGGCAAACGGGTGCCCGGCCCCGCCTCTGCCCCGCCCGGCCAGCTGCGGCCGCAGG